CAATCTATGTCGAGATGCTTTATTCGCTCATGAAACACTAAGTTTGTAGCAATATATTTTGCGGCTTTGTTGTCACAGTTTAATACGATAAGCAAAGAGGGCGTGATCATAAAGTCCCTGAGTAGATAAGTAATCCACTATAGCTCACACATGGTTGAAGACATGCTTCTGTATTCAACTTCCGTGGAGGATTTACTGACCGTTGTTTGTTTTTTTTATTTTTCAAGATATCATTGATGGCCCAAGAAAAATGCAAAACCCATGAGAGATCTACAAGTCATCGGACGTGATGCTCAGTTCAAGTCGTAAAAAGCTTGGATCTTGATGTTGTTTATTTTTGGAAAATACAAGCCTTGCTTTGGGTACTGTTTTAAGTATTTGATGAGGTGAAGTGCGGCATTTATATGCGGCTTTCTGGGTTGTTACATGAACCGGCTTAAGTACTAAGTGGAGTAAGATATGTCCAATCTTGTGAAATTGAGATAAAGTAATCATCTGATCAAGCGTTTATATTTCTCCAGATTCGATAAGATCTCACCCTTTTCTGTGTTTAATTTCAATCCAGTTGGTAAAGGAAAGTGACTTCCTTTTGCCTCTTGCATGCCTATATCCTGTAGTATATCTTTAATATACTTTCTTTTACTGATGTAAATTCCTCCTTTTGATCTAGCTATTTCAACTTCTAGAAAATATCACGTTTGTCCCAGATCTCTCACCGTGAATGTCTCATCCAGTGCTCTTTTGACCTTGCTGATTCCTTTTTCATCTTGCCCAATAATAAATAAGTCATCGACGTACACAATATTACAATGTAATTTTATTCCCTCCCTCTTGTAAATAAACAATGGTATGCTTCAGATTTGATAAAGCCAATAGAATGAAGCTTTGAAGTGAGCTCTTTGTTCCATTGGCGCCCAGCTTGCTTTAGCCCACATAGACTTTTAGTTACGCAGTAAACTTGGCCTTCACTTGCTTTAGTATAGCCCTCTGGAGGCTTTAGGTATAACTCTTCCTCTATGTAATAATGTAGATATGTATTATTTAAATCCAATTAATGGACAGACCAATCGTTGTCGGCTACTATGGCAAGAAGTAACCGGACATTTAACATTTTGGCTAGTAGTGAAAAATTATCATGGTAGTTGGCACCAAATTCTTGGTTATAGCCATTGGCGACAAGTCTCATCTTGTATTTATTTATTGTTCCCCATCTATGTTGTATTTAATTTTGTACACACATTTTAAGTCAATTGCTCTTCTCTCTTTAAGGAGCAAGGTTAGTTCCCATGTTTTGTTTTTTTCTAATGCAGTTAATTTGGCCTGCATAGCTTCAACCCATCTACTGTCCTCCTTAGCAACCTTGTACGGTTTTGATTCTTGTGTAACTAAGACATATGCAACAAAATTGACATAGCCATGATTATATGAAGGTGGGGTTGACATAAAAATAAGGAGAATCTGTTGATGATGCCTCGGTTATGTGTGCGATAAAGACCTCTATCCAAGAAGGCCTACTTTTTGCCCTGGTACTTCTCCTAATTTCAGGTTCTTGAAATTTTGTTTCAGGTAAGACCATTTCCCCTCTGTTTTGTAGTTAATTTTCATTGGTGTCTGATATGGTTATGTTGGGTATTGGTAATGGTGTATCTTGATGATCGATTTGTGGTGATTGTGTTGATATGGGTAAACATGTTCATGAAATATGACATCCCTTGACATAAATAATTTTTTGTTTGAAATATCATATAATTTGTATGCTTTAACACCAACTTCATACCAAAAAAAAAATGCATTTTAAAGCTCGTGCATTAAATTTTATCTTTTGAGGATAGACATTTGTAGCAAAATATAAACAACCTAATGTTTTTAAAAGGGAATAATCTAGTTGTTTTTTATATAAAATTTCCTGAGGAGTTTTCCATTTTAAAACTGAGCTTGGCAAGATATATATTATATATGTGGTCATAAGTATGGATTCTCCCCAAAAACTTTTTGTCAAATTAGATTCAAACATTAGTGTTCTAGTAACTTGTAAAAGATGTTTCTGTTTCCTTTCTACCACACTGTTTTATTCTAGTGTATAAGCATAAGTTTTGTGATGCACAATGTCTCTCTCGGAAAATATCTTTGCATGAGTTATTTGCAAATTTAGTACCATTATTAGTTCTAATAACTTTAATTGTTTTTTGAAATTGATCGGACACAAAATTACAAAACTATTTTAAAACATTTGGCTCATTTAATTTTTCTTTTAGTAAGAAGGTCCAAGTTGTTCAAGAAGAATCATCCACCATAGTTAAGACATAAGAAGCTCTCAAAATATATTGAATTAAATAAGGATCCTAAAAGTCAATATGTATTAATTCGAAAATATCATTAGCAGTAATATTACTTTTAGAAAAAGGTAAATGTTGTTGTTTTTCTAATGGACATATTTCACAAACATGTGAATCCATTTTGTTTGAAAAGCTTAGGGTGGGAATATGAAGTAATTTTTTCATTGAGGTGTGACCGAGTCTTATGTGCCAAAGTTGTAGGCTGTTTTCTTGGGTATGATTGGTGCATGTTTTTTTCTGGTTTTGTGTCTCTACTCAGGGTATACAGGCCTTCCTTTGTTGTTCCTTTCTTTAATTTTCTGTTAGTTATCAAATCCTGCAAAAACAATGGTTTGGATAGAAAGAAACGTAGGTATTTGAGGCTTGAGTTAATTTTCTGACGGAAATTAAGTTACATGCAAATGTTGGTATTAAAGAACATCATGTAGGGTTAGGTCATTGCATAATTTTATGGTACCTTTATGTGTTGAGTACCTCAAAGTTCCATCGGGTAAAGAAACAAGTATTATGGGTTCTAGTTTGATGGTTTTAGTAAACAAACTAAAATCATGACATATGTGTGATGTTGCACCTGTGTCGATTACCCAGGTACCTACATCATCTCAGGTATGTAAAAAATAGTAGTTAGATTGTTTACCTGCAGGGTCAAAATAGCCCACACATCCTGATGATTCCATTGTGCTTACGCCCTGATTTTTCATGTATTTGCTAATTTTTTGTTGTATAATATTGGTTATTTCTGCATTCCAGCCTGTTGTCATCGGTGTTTCGTCATTGGTATCACTGGAAATTTCATCTGAAACAGTATTTGCCTTTTTTTTGCCTCTTTTTCCTCTAAGTTATGTAAACCATTCGGAGTAATCGTGGAGTTTGAAACATGTGTCCCTTGTGTGTCCTGTGTTATTGCAATAAGTGCATATTATATTGTCTTTGCTTCGATTTTGTGGCCTTGAAGTATCTTTTAGATTGGCATAAAAAACGGTAGACATCACTTCAGGTACATTATTGATTTGTACTTTTCTTTGTTTCTCAATACTGAGCACCATTGAGTAGGCTTTGTTAACAGTGGGTAATGATTCCATAATCAAAATTTGAATTCTTACATGATTGTATGAGTCAGTAAAACCCATTAAAAATTGAATTAAGTTGTTTGTATTGTCAATCTCATTATGCAGGGTAGCAACATTGCAAGTACATGCAGGTAATGGCTTCAAATAACTAAGTCATCCCAGAGTTTTTTTAATTTTGTAAAATAAGCGACAACTGAGAGGCTTGATTGAGTGATGAAGCTAATTTCTCACTTTAATTGATATAGTAGAGGGGCATTGCTTTCTCCATA